GGTATAACCATTCAAAGTCCAGTGATGTACCAGTACGTCACTGGTCCTTGTTGGATATATATGCTATGTTCTTTTTTTTTTTGTATGCAGCCTGTGGGCTGAATTAAAAAAAAGAGAAGAAATCTCTGCCAGAAAAAATGTGTGGTATGCCCACCATTAGAATGTACCGCCCTGCATCCACACATTAGGTCACACGGTGCCACATGCGCCAGTTCCAAGATTGAACAAATGTCTAAATAGTGGCACACTTGAATAAAAATTGTCCACGTATAAGTGGTACCCCATATGGAAAAAGGATGACACCAAGTCCCAAACTATCTTGACACTGCTCCCCATGTAGTCTGGGCACCCAGGGGGCTCCACGTGACTATCTTTTCCCTCGTAAATCTGAAAATTATATGTATACCCTGTTGCCCTCTCACAGTTTGTATACATCTTGACCCCATATCTGGCACGCTTGGTGGGGAGAAATGGTTTGAATGCAAGGTGGCCAGAAACATTAATGAGGGAATCATCAACGCAGATTTTTTGCTGGGGAGTATAGACATCTGCAAATTTTTGGTTAAGGTGATTTACAAGGGGCCGAATTTTTTGGAGTTGGTCAAATTCAGGGTCACCTCAAGGATGACCGTGTATTGTTGTTGAAATGCATTAAACACATACTCTCATATCTATGCCTGGCCATGGCAGCAGAGAACACGGCATATGATGAATTGGGTCTATGGACCAATACAACCGCAATTCATTTTGTTTAGTAATGCCCATGTTGAGGGTTAGGTCCAAAAAAAATGTAAATTCGGAAACCGTAATGAGTTTCCATGTGAATGGTCTGGCGAGGTTTGAACTTGGGTTGGCGGCGATAAATTGTTGTGCATATAAAATGCTTTGATCCACAATCAATGCATACAGATCTTCCATGAAAAACAGCTCCAAAAAAATCAAGGGGAAGAGTTAAATTTGCGGTTTCCACCTGAATTCAGGGTTGGTCAATGAATGGGGGAAGTACGGGTGCTGCAGAATTTGTGGGCTACCAATAGGGATTTGCAAGCACATCCGGAAAGATACTAGGGGCTCTATGGGCCTGTGTGCGAATTCTTGGTGGTTGTGGGACAATACTTGTGCTTGCCTCTGCACGAGCTTATACTGCACTTATGGGACTTGCCACGTCACCATGTCATACTGCAGTGCTGGTATGTGAAAGACCAGGATGTACTAGGCCACTGGTGCTCGCCAGTTCACCAAAAGGTAGCGCGGCACTAGTACTGGCACTCTGCTGCATATGAGAGTCATCAAAATTTGCTGGAAAGTGCTAACAGAGATCAGGCCTGATTCTGCCAACACTGCGGTTTTGTGTGCAATGTATCAAGTGACAGTGACCTACTGACACTGCACTTGGGGGGGTAAGCCAAGGGGCTAAATGCAGGTGCTGGCAGGTTCCGGGGCTGATCTAACTAACGCTGCATTTTTGGGGATGCTATACTAATGTGAACGCTGGTATAGAGCTGATCTGATCAAAGATATGGATCCGTTCAGGCACTATACTACAAATGGAGGTTTATTGTGTATGAGTGTTCCTGGCAATCAAGGTGTTAAAGGGCGTGAAAACCACGGGAGTGTAAATCACGTATATGTATAATATATATATATATATATATATATATAAAAAAAAATTTGATTTTGCCTCCCTGTAGCAGTATTTCTGCTATAGGGTGGTCAGGAAGCGGTTACATAAGCGGTTTGTGTTATGGAGCTGCGTCACTTTAACTGACAATTGCGCGGTCATGCAACGCTGCACCAAAATGAAATTTACGTTTTTCCCCCCATGAATTGGGCTTTCTTTTGATGGTATTTGTTCGCCTGTGCATTTTTTATTTTTCTGCGCGCTATAAAAAAAAAAAAAAAAAAAAAAAAAAAAAGGGACTGACAATCTTGAGAAAAAAAACCCCAATATTTTGGACTTTTTGCTATAAAACATGTCAGTAAAAAAAAAATTAAAATCAAATTTCATCATATATTTAGGCCAAAATGTATTCTGCGACATGTCTTTGCTAAAAAAAAAAAATCCCAATACGTGTAAATGAATTGGTTTACGTGAAAGTTATAGCGTTTGCAAATGGCGGTATAGATATTGGATTTTTTTTTTCTTACTCATAGTAGTGGCGATCAGCAACTTATGCCGGCGATCAGCGACTAATGGCGGGACTGCGGCGGACATTCTGACACTGGGGGGGAACTGATTTGGGGTCACTGACATCACCAGTGACACCAATACAGTGATCAGCGCAGAAAAAAACAAAAACAAAAAACACTTACACTGTACTACTGGCACTGGGGAGGAAGGGGGTTAACATTGGGAGGCAATGAAAGGGTTAACTGTGTGAGGGGAGTGTTTCACTAGGGGGTGGGGGGTGTATGCTTCTCTGTTACACTCTGTTCCGGAAGGCTATGTCCAGCGATCCAGAACAGTGTGTTGAAAACTGACAGGGAGGAGAGCTCCATTGAAAACAATGCAGCCTTCCTCCCAGTCAGTGTTTGCTGGCAATCGGTGCCCTGGGGGTAGGGCGGTCGCGTGTCCCCTACCCCGAATGCGCACAGGGGCTGCCTTCTGCAGTATATGCACTGTGGGCGGTCCCCTAGTGGTTAATGGAGCGGATGGTGGCACATTATATGGCCTAAACTGGCCAACTAATTGAACATTCATATCCAGATTATGACCGGCAAGCCTCACTTGCAAATGTAATTGGATTCATCCTATAATTAGACATTATATATAGTTATGAGACAACCGGTCTTCTACCTGACTTCTATCTGTACTATATGGGGCACTACTGAATGACAATCATCCAACTCTTACATTCTATACATGGTTTCTTGCCCCATATGTTCCCAAATTGCACCTTTAGCCCTCTTGCCTTCTTCCCCGAAGTGTGTATGTTGGAGGTTGTGTGAGCAGCTGCTAAGATGACGAGACAATGTGGTCCTCTTTTTAGTTTGGTGACATTATGGTGGTGGTGTGTTTAGTTTCTTTGTGTATACTTGTGCAATGCACATTTGTTTTTTCTAATAAAAGCCCTTTGATAAAGCTGCATGGTCCCACATAAAATGGTCTGTCAGGGCTCTGTCCACAGCAGAAGTACTAGGAGACCTGGCACTCCTGCCAGTACCTTGCATGGCCGCAGAAGTGCATGTTGGCGAAAATCTATGCGCATTGGTGCACGGACGCGGAACACGAAGGTGCACTGATGCATAGTTGCGCACGCATTGGCTCAGTTTGGTGCCAGACGGCCTTTATAAGGAGGCTAATCACTCCCTCAAATTGCTGGTTGATCTCGGGCTCCCCAGTACCATTGTCCGTGTTCCCTTATCATGATTTCCTGTTACCGACTCGGCTTGCTCTTGGACCTGTCTTCTCTGCCTGACCTGACCCGGGCTTGGCTATCGGATATTCTCCCCCGCTCTTCTGTGTATGACCCCAGCTATCCTATTGACTACGTCTGCTCCAATCTCCACCTGGCACTTGACCTTGGCTTTGAACCGACTATCCTGTGGTCCTCTGTTTCCCTGAAGGCTTGCATACCTCTCACGGGCGTCCCCTGTCTGCAGACTCCATTCCAGTGCATCAGCTGTGCTCCTGGGTGTACCTCTGACCAGCACTCCTACAGGCGACCTGTGCTACTTTGGGCCCGACTCCCGCTGTCCCATATCCAGGGGAGTCTAGAAATTAGCCACAAGGGAAGCCCTCTCTCCCGTGGCCTCCAACACCATGTATGTGATACTAAGATACTATCTTTGTTCGGGGAATGCTTTTCCCTATGCACATATGTATCGAGTATGAGTTTCAGTGACCACACCCATTAACTTTTATGTTTTACATGGGTCATACGATCATATGATAGCTGATATTAATGCTGGGTGATTTTGAATTTAATCCCTTCTATATCGGCTGTTCAGGCCCTTGGTTAACCTTTTTAGTCCTTGTATTTGTTTGATTTGAATATGAATAGGCTATTTCAGAGCAACCACTGAGTGAACCAGAATATTACATATTGAGTGAAGGTAAGAAAATCAGCAACAAGGACATGTAAAGACGTTTTTGCAAGCAGTTCTGCTTTTAAAATAAAATGGTACAACTCACTTACTGATCCCTGTATTTGTGATGCAATGTATAAAGCACACATTTATTATTACTATAGCTAGAGGGTCACATTTTAAAATAACTATCCTGACTTGGGCCTTTGTTAAAGAATCTATGAATACAAAAGTTTTCTTGAATAGGAAACATGTAGTTATAATATATATATATGCCCCCATGAAAGAGGTTATGTCAATTTGAAATGATGTATTAAGACAACCCCAAAAAACAAATAATGTTACCGAAGGGAGCAAAATCTTTTGTTACTTTGGCAGGTAGACAATTTGTTTTTTTTTTTTTTAAATAGAGTTGTTTATAGTGTCTCTATAGTCAAACTGTAAAATCATATAATAATTTATACATTATACTTCAATTATTTCTAGCCTACTCCTTTTAATCTGAATGGTCTTGATGTTTGTAAACGTACTTTTTGTAGAATCTGAAACATTTCATTTCTCCAAATTCTGTGATATGTATTCACTATGCCCTGTGTGTAGACATAGCTGTGTCACAGAATTCACAGAGCCTGCCTTCTGAACTGCAGAGGTGCTGAGAGTTTCAGGAGGCAGAGTCAGTACAGAAATCACTGCTTGCAGGTAGCAAGGTACCATGGGATATGTAATTCTTAAAAATCTAAAAAATCAAAAAAAAGGTATGAGCAGAGGAGAATCCAGAAATTTGTGTAAAAATATGGCCAAAAGATAGGCAGCACTCACAACACGAAAGGAGATTTTTCACACGCATGCTTATATTGGATTGTCAACAATAACTATTGATTGTATTGCTAATAAAATGCTAATGTTATAAAATTAGAGTGTAAGCTGCGACCATGAATTTCCTTTAAATTTAATTGTAGACATGAACTCACCTATAAATTTAATGCGTCCAGAGCTCAGTAATGTTGGATCATCTTTTTTGACATTCTCAGTTGCATCCTGGACAAGTTGATCAATATGGTCAATGCCAACAACTTTTCCTGAGGGGCCTACCTAAGAAGAAAGAACATTTATCAATGGGCTTGTCAGTCTAAAAACTAGATTGTTGTGGTAACTTTGTTTTGTTCATCTTAAAACTGGCTTGAGAAATTTGAGCACTAATAACTAGTACCTTTTCATTGCCAATGTGTGATTTGCACCGCCACTTTTGCCATTTGTCTTGTGTGGTATACATCACTATAAAACTATCACACCCAAAATATACATTTATTACTAATTAAAAACAAATAGTATGTTACTTGACCTTCAAGGGAAGCTATTTTTTTCAGCAACTTTATTTTATTTTTATTAACATTTACAAATTAATGGTTAATCGTTTATAAAATAATGGGTTTATCATGTTGTTCATTTGTATAACTTTTTTTTTTACAAAAAAAGGGATATATCATGACATTCAGTTTGAAAAACATGCTGAACTATGACAGTTGAACGTGATTTTATGGGAAGTTTGCTATTCTGGTCTATTTCTAACATAGCAGCAGAAAGATCTCTTACAGAGCTCCTGCTATTACACAGAGCTCCATTTGCTGGATGCAATTGGTATAAATGACCCCTTCATATGCAATATTTCAGATTTACATTAATAAAGAAAATTAATAAAATGCATTTGTATTTTTAACCTAAACCTAACGTTTAACCTAACCCCATACACTTATCCCTTATTCCCAACCAAGTCACCACCCTTAAACCTCAAGTAAAATTTATAAGATCATGGTAGTATATATTGATACTGTTACGATCATAGATTACAGTGCTGAACATAGGAATGCATTTCATGTTTAAAAGAAGAAAATCTTTGTAATATATTAAGAAACAAATGTTTAACCTTTCACTAAGCTTGTCTTGAGACACAATATCATAAGTTAAAGCTGAACTCCAGGCAAATAAAAAATAACAGTTAAAGTAGATTTAAACCCTAACTGAATGACATTTAATTTGCTGAAGCACTGTGCATCATAAACAATTGCAATTAAAAAAAGAAAAAATGTTTCACCTTTGTTCATTATTTGCTGCATCTATGTACTGCTGATTTGTTGCAGGCTTTTTGCAGCCACTTCCAATCTACATGCATGCACTCCAACAATGCATGACCTCTCTGAGGGTGGGTTTCCTGATGGTAACAACAGTAGACCATGACTGTGTAAAGTGTGTTGAAAGAGCCACTTGCAGTTTCAATCAGAAGCCCATGTGACAGGGTGATAAGACAATAAATAGGGAGACAGGAAGAGAGCATGGTTGCCCTACATGAGTGAACATAGACCATCATGACAAACTCACCAGATATTATTTATGCTGAAGATTTAAAAAACTCTTTAGAAATCATAACCGGTTAAAGATTATATGCTTTATATGTTAATCACATTTATATAAAACATATGGTTATGTATTCATTACAAAAATAAGTCCACAAATACTGACATAACTAAATCTGTCTTGAGATCGGCCTCCTATTATTAAAGTGTTACTAAACCCAGGACCCTGCATTCACTATATCTGGTCTACCACAGTACACAGGACATGGAAATGCAATTATTTTAGTAAATATAAACTGCTAAATACCTTTTCTCATCAGCAGTTAGAGCAATATTGTGACTTCTATCAGTGTCCAGCTGAGCACTGGTTAAAGCTTGTAGGAGGCATTTTCATTCTGCTCTAGGAGGATGCAGAACCCCCGATTGGTCCTGTGCTGATCAAATGCACGCTCCCAAGCAAAAAAAAAAAAAACCCTCTAGCAATACACACCAAACTGAGCATGTGCAGAGTGTCTCCATATGATAGGTCTTATCAGGAGATAAGGGGGAGACACTGGAAGAAGAGGAGGATCAGAAAAGTCAGGATCAAACAGCCTTTTTACACAATGCAGAGGATTAACCCCTTAGGTTCCACAGTGAGTATAACAAGCATGCTTTACTGCATATACAGACTAATTTTTTACGGTTGTGGGTTTAGTAACACTTTAAACTTGAGAGAGGGAGTGGCAGCACCTGGAGTCAATCAGGCTGGTGAGCAGAGACCGTGTGCCGACAGGAAACACGCTGAAATAAGGAAAAAAGTAAAGAGGGAGGACTTCTCAGTGTTCTGCTGCTCCTTCATCGTCCAAACACTAGCTGAGGGCATGGAATTGAACAACTGCATTGAATAACAGCAACCGTCTGGATCTTTAATCTGGCCGGGTAGGGTTGTAGAAATCTCAGGTCCATGGGTACACTGCGCTGTGGATGAACGGCAGTGGGGCAGTGTGAAGGGACTTTAAGCTGTTGGCTTGGAGTTCACCTTTCAAGTTAAATGCCAGGCAAACAGCTAAACACAACATTCACATGACAGCCCTGTCAGGCAGGGAAGGGGTACTGCTTTTTCTCTCTTTAGCAGTAAGGTAACACAGGTTTTATCAGTCCAGCCAGTGAGTGGACAGTGAAGCAAGAAGCAGCAAACTGATGAGCTTACCTCTCCATCATTCTGCTATCTCTCCTGCTATCAGCATGTTTATTGCTAGCACATGGAGCACTGCAACACAACTGACAGCCTTGTGCTGTTAATCCCTTCCTCAGTCTGAAGTCTGCTGTACAGGGGCTGCAAAAAGCTGATACCACAACAAATTGAGGTCCCTGCGTTAAAGCCCAGGACACAAGATATCTTTGTAGCAGTCGTGCACACAGATGGATGCAAACCTCCATTTTGGCAAAGGCCTCCATCTTCTATCAATTCTCTACTCCCAAATCAGCTACACCCTACCTTCACTGAGCTCAAAGACATTCCAGGTAGTCGTAAACCAGACATCACATTCAACATCCATTTTCCCCTATGATTACATATCTTGGAATATGAAAGACTTACATAAAAACCAGGCATATATTCAGACCGGTCACTTTAATACAAGTCGTCTGATATATTACACCCCCTAGCTGACACAAACAGGAGAGCAGAATTGATATCTCCTTAACCATCCCAGCTGGTATGTCATATTTCATATCTAGACGTTCAGCAGATGATTCTCCGTAGTAATCTACCCGTGGATAGAATGTTACATGTACCTAGGAAACGTTATTGATCATAGTATAATTTGGGAGGGATTTGGTCATAGCCTGAGCTCCCCGCCTACAACATCCCTTCCCAAATGACGCGATTGGTTCTCTGCTTTAAGGAGACACCCTGCTGAGTTCCTAGAAAAAGGCTGTTATGCTTGAAGCAAGTTAAGCTGAGCTGAGTTGAAGTTGAAGAAGCTCCCTTTTAACATCGGAACTAACTGGGAGATAAGGCCCTTTTGCTCTTACACTTGAAAGCTGCTTAAACCAAGGCTGACGGCAAGTACTTTATCCCTCTAAACCTCTGTTATCTCTTTGCTGTATTATTGCTTATATATATATATATATATATATATATATATATATATATATATATATATATATATATATATATATCACATCTTTTTCTGTAAATATTTTTATTGCACCCTTTTGACCTTTTAGTAATAAATCTTACTTTCTGAAAGTGTTGAACAGTTTCTAAAGCTCTTTAATGCAACTAAGAACCCCTGTCTCTGAAGAGCGCTATTGTGTGTCTTTAAACTTCTGTATACCCTGCCTGCGGTGACAGTGGTATACAAACGATTATTCAACATCACAGTGTTATTGCTGATTTTGCCGAGTTTCCTCTCTCTGTACAAAAAGGAGGTGGTGGCAGTGTGAAGGGTTAATTGCGTAATTAACGTGACTCAGTAACAATCGCTCTCAGGCTGCAAGTAAACAGATTGTGGTCCATTAGCTAGAAAATCTTTGTGCAGGGTGCAGCTGGGTGTGGCATTGTTACGCATGTGACAGTGCAGGTTTAGATTGGCTAGTCCTTCGGTCACGTTTGGCAAGAAAGGCTGGGGTCTGACACCGAGATCGTCACAATCTTCTTTCTCATATCATACTCTATACAGATCTCCTACTTTATTAGAAAGTGGGAGAAAGAACTCAATATTGAATTCTCACCCCCTCGACTCCAAAAAAAATGTTTTGACTCTCCCAAGTCTCAACCATAAGCTCTAAAATTTAAGAGTCTTGATGCAAGTTTTTAGTCAGATGCTATAAAATGCCTTCCCATTTAGCGCAAACATTTTGGGACTCAATCTCTCCTCGGATTCAGAAGCCCATCTTTAAAACAATTAGGAGTATAACCTTCACCTCTTTCATGACATGCCCTTGTCTTTCAAGTCTTTTAAAAAACAGTATTACTCAGCATTTACTTATTGCAGCTAAAAGCCTGATTCCAAGAATTAGGAAACAAACTGCTTGTCCCACCATCTCAGAATGGAAGATATTATAATTGAAGCTGAACACTGGATTCACAATCTTAAAAAACAAACAAATTTAGGGATATAGGGATGGGATGGATGTACTACTCCTACAAGATTCTGCGAGTAATTGAAATGTAGGTACTTGGGAGTTTGATGGCTTTTGTCTGAACCTGTGTCATTACTTGGGTCACCTGCTGGTGGCACTGTTGTTCCCAGAGTCAAAGGGTGCAGTTTCAGTGACCACCAGCAGGTGGTCTGTCCAAGTAATTAGGCTGCACTTGACGTGGGCTGCTGGGAGGTATATAATCCTGCCCCTGACTGAATGGATAAGTTCACCTTTTAACAACAAATAATAAATGCACCTTTATTTTGCAGGTAAAAAAAATGTGCATTTATCATTTTCTCTTTCTGAAGCCTCTAAAGCATTGCACCAGCAATCAGCAGATCGCTGGTGCCGTGCAGGTCTCCTGCAGACCTGTCAGTGTATCTGTGCGCCTGTACATCTCATACAGGCAAGCAGATACTTACTGACAGGAAGACTCAATTAACTACCATGGCGCTTGAACCTGTAGTGCTCTCATTCACAGAATAATGTGAATGAGTGATGCTGCTGGGGGGAGAAGATCCCCCGCTAGCTGTCACAATGGGCATCAGGGGTTGGGGGGGCCTGTCCATTCGTAACATGTTACAGCCTGAATAAGGGTATAACGTAACA